CTGATGTCTAACATGGTCTGTCGTGGTGTGTGGGTGTGTCTCCGGTCGCTGCCGTGGCCGAGCACTAACTATTGCGTCTCCTGTTGACAAGCCGGGGTGTAATATCTCTCCCCAAGCTGTCGCTATTGCGCCGTGTATGAGGAAACTAAGGTTGACTCCCCATGTCAGTGACGTTGCTAGCACAGCTTCTCTATTGACCAGAACAAACGATCCCTTGCCAACACATGACCACTTTTTTCTCTTGTTGCATGATTTCATTATGCTGGTCACTGCGGCATACTGTAGTTCACCATCTGGTGTTGCCCCCTTCATCACAACACGCAGCACTTTGTGCGGATCGGGAAAAGCACGTGCCAACCTCAGAATTGCATGTGCCCACCCTTTTGTCACTTGTCCACCCGCAGCCTTCAAATCATAGTATACATAATGTTCCTCGTCTTCCTCSTCGCTGCTGACATCGCTGCCGCTCACTTCTACRTCAGAAGATGATGCCCCCTCWTCCTCTTCTTCATCTTCTTCTTCTGCACTGTTTGTGTACTCTGCACAACAACTTGGCWAATCGGCATCTTCAAATCCACGATCACACTGTTCTTTCTCCATTGTAAAAGCATTGAAGATATCGCAACACACTAGCTGCTCTCTCGTTGCTGTCTGCATGGGAGGCACATCGACTGCCATACTGGTTATTGATTCTTGTGCTACTAATGTTTATCCGTTGTCTGGAATGATTGCTAAATTTGTTTCCGTGACCATCACCTTCCACCCTTCTTCTCTTTCTCTTTGTCTCTCAACATCGCAGCTTGCAAGACCGAGCCGCTCSAAAGCAGCTGATAACAAYTCCCCCCACAACGGTCTGCCAGATATGATGTTGTCTTCTGTTATTGCTGGCAYAAATTMTATCAGATCTTGACCCTGCAGTGCAAACTCTGTCACTTCGTGCAACGCCTCATGGATGACGTTCCTGTCGTTGTCACTCTTTTTCATGAAGTCCACAAGTTGATCCAACAGAGTATATTCCACACCATCTACGACAATGACAGAAAAATCTTGAAAGTCTTCTGGCGTTGTTTATGTAATGTCCTTCATTCTGGACAACACCAATATTTCTGCAGCACCGCTCTTCAACTCGTCCTTCGACCCATCAACCAGCATTCCCCCATTCCGTGCGACAGTGGCCAGCAACTTGCCCAAGTTCGCAGRTGTATATGTCCCCCCTGTCTGCTRCATTGTCATGTCCACRTCTCCTTCTTCGCACATCTCTTCGATGCAGATCCACTGGACCACTCCTTTTAGACTGTATGCACTATGTTCCACATCGTTGTCCACACGTACATGTGGTGACTCTCTGAAGCGTTGCAAGAGTGTTCGTGCTTTGACACAGCCCTCGCCATTTGCCACGATTGTGAATCTCATATCCACAGCGACTATGAAGTACCTCGGGACCCTTTCCTGAAGCAAAGACAAATCGCTGTCACTGTTGTAGTGGACACCCTCCTTTGCATACTTCATTACCTCTGCAAGAGTAGCCTCCACCTGTGCTACTTACATCGACATGATGCGTACAGTTTGTCTTTCATCCTCTTCTCTCTGACATCGACATCGACATGTGTGTGTGTGTGTGACGTCTATGTATGAACCTATGTGGATGTTTGTGTGTCTTTGTGTATATGTCTATGGATGTGTGTGTATGAATGGTTTGTGCATGTGTCTGCGTGTCTGTTCCCAAGTTGGCTACTGCGTGTCATTCGAAGTCGCAACGGTAATCATTCGCCAGTTTCTGGCACGCAGTAGCCAACTTTAAGGGTGCATGCCAGAATGCGTGTGTGTGTGTGTGTGTGTRTCTTTCTGTATATGACTGWGTGTGTGTGTGCATTTGTTATGCGTGTTTGCTTGTGCATGTGTTAGCGTGTCCGACTTCAGGTTGGCTACTGCGTGCCATTTGAAGTCACAACGGTAATCATTCGTCAGTTTCTTGCACGCAGTAGCCAACTTTAAGGATGCATGCCAGAATGTGTGTGTGTGTGTGTGTGTGTGTGTGTGTGTGTGTGTGTGTCTGTGTGTGTGTGTGTGTGCGTGTGTGTGTGTGTGTGTGTGTGTATGTGTGTGTGTGTGTGTGTCAACTTTAAGGGTGCATGCCAGTTTCTGGCACGCACTAGCCAACTTTAAGGGTGCATGCCAGAAAGAAAGAGAAAGAAAGAAAGAAAGAAAGAAAGAAGTGAAGAAAGAAAAAAAATAAGAAAAAAAGAAAGAAACATGTTAGACAAAGAAAGAAAGAAAGAAAGAACGAAAGACAAAGAAAGAGAAAGAAAGAAAGAGACAGACAGACAGACAAAGAGACAGACACACAGGCAGTCAGACAGACAGACAGACAGACAGACAGACAGAAGGACAGACAGACTTCGCCTATCGGTTCATCCACTTACAAACTAGACATACAGACACACAGACAGACAGACAGACAGACAGACGGACAGACAGTCACACACACACACACACACACACACACAGACAGACAAACAGACGGACAGACACACACACACACACACACACACACACACACTCACACAACACACACAAACAGACAGACAGACGGACAGACGGACAGAGAGACAGACAGACACACCGACAGACGGACAGACAGACAGAAAGACAGACAGACAGACGGACAGACAGACACACACACACACACACACACACACACAGACAAACAGACAAACAGACGGACAAACACACACACGCACACACACACACACACACACACACACACACACACAGAAGGACAGACATACTTTCATTCTGGTCCATCCACCATGCTCACCAGACAGACAGACAGACAGA